TTTGATAGAAAGTCAGTAGTGTAATTTCGTACCAAATATGACACAATAACGTATTAAATATCACAATAAGCGTAGTAGCCGTAGCATTTTCATTCTTCTACAACTGTATTACATGTAATATGCATGCACTCATGTACACTTACACAAAAATATGATAAGAAAACTACTGAGAACTGTAGTATTTTTGTAGATTAGCGAAAGTACTACTGTTTTAACTATTGAAAACTTATATTAAATCTATTTATAATATTAACGAATAGGTTTCTACAGTTTTCCAATAGTGTTGTAATATGTATACAATAGTCTTCCAATATTTTTCAATAGTGCTTCAATAGTTTTCCTATATTGTCATCAGTAGTTTTTTCTTAAGAAAAAAATACGGAAAATACGAAAAAAACGGGGAAATGATAAAACATTCGGGCATGACAACAGCAATGATACTCTATAAGATTATCGCCAGCATCTGGAAGGGCAAAGGAGAGTTGCCAGAATTCTGGACATAGGAATCATCAACCCTATACCAAAGACGAGGGACATTACAATCTGTAAAAATTACAGAGCAATAACACTTTTAAATTCCGCCTGTAAATTGACCATAATTCGAGAAAAACTAAGAAAGATCTATGAGGAAACATTGTTGAGGTGAATACCAATGCGGCTTTAAAGAGAGTAGGTCAACGGTGTACCAACTTTTCACCATGAGACATCTCTTCGAAAAATTTTGGGAGCACAACATCACGATCTACCACCTATTTATCGACTTCAAGACGGCCTTTGACAGTTTAGTCGAAAATGCAATAAGGAAAGCTTTAATTGAATTAAAAATATCAAATGAAATGGTAAGGTTGTGCATGGCGATTACGGAGACCGCGAAAGGAAAAGTCAAAGTTAATCTCAGAAAAATACGGATCAAAGAAAAGGATCAGAGAAAAGGATCAAACATGGCGAATGGGCTAGCACCAGTACTTTTCAACCTCGTACTGGAAACAGTAATAAGAAGAGCAAACATCAAGGGATCAGTTAATAAACCAGAGCTCACAGATCCTCGGTTACGCGGACGACCTTGACATTGCGGGACGCAGCGTTAGGGCAGTGAGGGAAAGCTTTGAGGCAATTGAGAGAGAGGCAAAAAAAGTGGGCCTAGTCATTAATAAGGAGAAGACGAAATTCATGACAGTTGCTAGGAATCAGACAGCCCAAAGAAGGATAGGATCTTAGGTTAGAGATTGGTAATTATAAATTTGAGATGGTGAACTAGTTCACGTACCTCGGGTCAGTCCTAACCTCGGACAACTATGAAATATCGAAAATCAAAGGAAGATTTGGGATTGCTAACAAAGCCTATTTTGGAGTAGCAAGGCTATTAAGATCCAAGGATTTGTCGAGAGCCACTAAAATAAAAATTTACTAAACACTGATAAGACCAAACAACACACACGGCTCAGAAGCATGGATCCTAAAAACAGGAGAAGCTAAATGCCTGGAACGCTTCGAAAGGAAGATTCTAAGAAAAATTCTAGGCGCAAGAAAGCTAGGGAAAAACGAGTACAGAAGAAAGAAGAACGCAAAGCTACATCTTCTACGGAGACTTAGATATGGTCACATGTATCAAAATCAGTAGGTTAAGATGCTTGGGACATGTCAGCAAGTTGGAGGAAAACAACGCATGTAGGAGAGTCTTCGAAAGCTCTATGGAAGGCAAAAGACCGAGGGGAAAACACCGATGGTGGTACATATTGATGGAGGATATGAATAAACTAAGAATTGGAGAGCGAAGACTGGAGACAGGGTGGAATAGAGGAAGCATTTTTCTGAGGCCAAGGTCCTTTTGAGAACTGTAGCGCCGTAGATAAATAGATAGTTTTTTTTTTTTTTCAGTAACAGTACACACATTAATACAGTAATATAAGCAGAACAGAACATGTCTGTTGTAAAATATGTTTTATGTAATATGTTTTATGTTTCATGATCTGTAGACATTGTGCTTGTCACTGTTTTTACTTAAGGACTACTAATAATAATAAAGAGCACTAATAATAAAAAAGCTGTAAAAATGGCATTTTAATATAATTTTACTATGGAAGCAACAGTTTAAATATATGGTTTTCGGAAATACGGTGCATATATATATACCTCAGTAAATATAAACAAAATATTCGAATAATATGTACATAAGAATTGCCTTGATATATGTCTTCCTTCATAATCATTGGTCTACCTTTCGTGTATATAATTTACGTAATTACTAGAGAAAGTTAAAAATATAATATTTAAGAAAGTTGAAATTATAATATTTGCAATGTTGCAAAACCATCGTATTATATTTTAATAATACATGTTAGATTTTCTTTATATGCTGAAATATTGCAAAAATTAAGGCACAGATACCATGCAAGTTGTTACAAAAAAAAAAGTTGATTTAAAGGGTCTAGTCTTTATCAACTAATTTACAAGTTAAATATATTAAAGAATTACATTTGATAGTTAATATCTAGTGGATTATGATTGGTCGGAATCCTAACTAAAAGCATATACCCACAAAAATATAAAGAATATTGGAAATAGCAATAAAAGAAATATACTTTACGAAATTACAATATTATATTTGTTATTAGGATATTCTGTTCGCATTAATTTAGAATAAGATTATAAAGCTTTATGTTTTATTGTGGGTGTTATGGCTTATATAAAATATACCTATATCGATATCCATATTAAGCGAGTTTAGAACTATAATTTATTAATTACCTTAACATACATTTTTCAATTTTTACGGTAATATATATATATATATATATATATATATATATATATATATATATATATATATA